AATGTTGAAGAAGGTAGGATGTCAGGTTTATTACTTAACCATTTCTCTGTATGAAGTTCACCAAACAATAAAGTCATTTCAGCATCTAACTTTAAAACGTCATAATTTACTTCTTCTTCGAACGGTGATGGATGCGGAATGTGTTCCCTGTAAATAAAGAAGAAATGTAATATTATTACCTTGAATACATGCTTAAGAAAACTTTATTTATTTTTCATACCTCATAAATGTGTATGCTTGCAAATATACTTCTAACATTCCTTTTGGCCATTCTTGATTCCATTTCGTACATAAAAATTCTGTATATCTTGCTATGATTATCATTAAATTGTTTTTACCACTGTGCTCATTAATAAATATATTTACATCAGCTGTTTCAGATTCTGTAGCGAAATAATTTTGTTGTCGACTGTAGGAAAAGAAAATTAGTCGCTGTAAAATTTTTCTCGTACATTTCAATATAGTTACCTTGCGTCCGGACTCGGTGATTTGGAACTTTCGGAACTTTTAACAGTTTCCGCGATATTACTGTTGTTTTCTTGATTAGCAAACAATTGATATAAATCCATTGTATCCATAGAATCATCCATATTCTTAGAAGGATCATCTTTGGTCAGTTTTACGGTATCTGGTCTAAAGCATAAAAATCAGTATATTGTAAGCATATGATTTACGTAACGCTATAGTCATAATTTCAATAAATATGTATATAAAAATATTTAAAATGCATACAATAATGTACTAGGAAATATTCTTCTAAGAGTTTCTTCTAATTGTACATCATCTCTTTCAGCTTCTCTCCTGTTTGAACTTCTAACTCTTGCGGATCGTCTCATGCTATTACAACTCCAAGCCCATTGTTGCAGAAAACACAGGGCACTTCTTCTTCTTTTCTTTACTTTTTGTACTTCTTCTTTCCCTTCAAATTTTTCGTTCAATTTTTCTTCTGTCTTGCATTGTGCATTGTCTTCTTTCTTTGAGCCCTTTTCATCATTGGATTTGTTACTGTCTTTATCACTATTATCATTTTGAGTTTCATTGCCAGTATCATGCATCATTTTCTCTAAGTGTAATTTATCTCCATTTTCATCTACTTCAAAATTATTTTGTTCATCCAAATCATTTTTTGCTTGGCTCTGTTCTTCAAACTGTGCAGCATCTGTATCTGAAATTCTCAAGGGATCTTCATCTTCTATTATTTGTACATCGGTGGAACATGATTTTTTATCATCTTCTGCTTCAACTTCCATTATAGATTCATTACCACCACATACTTGATTGTCATCAAATACTTCAAATGGAGAATTTTCTTCGTCTGTTTCCATTTTCATTGGTTTTTCCATATCATTTTCTTTCTTTGTTGCATTTTGCAATCCTTCTTGATCAATATTAACATCATTATTTCCCTGAGCATCTCCTTCAGTGTTAATTTTAGAAGATGCTTCCTCAGAAATATGAACTGGTAAATTAATTCTACTAACAAAACTTAAATCGTTTTCTGTAATATATTTGTGCATGTCTAATAAGCATTCTCCTAAATTCAACCAGGTGCAGCATTTTATAGGTTTTCTTAGTGACAAATCTGGCAATGGACTGGGACAGAATTCTATTTTACATGTTTCTGCCCATCTTGTGGCAATTTCTTTTGCTTCTGCTATTAGCTTATCTCCTATAACATGGTCATACTCAGTATATAGTGGTGGATCTAACTGCCAATCACTATTATAGAATTTATAGCATTCTTCAAGGCATGGAATGTCTTTAAATATTCTATCACGGAAGGCCAAACCTTTTATGTAATTGGGATCACGCTCTAATGCTATAGAAATGTACAAAAGACAATTCATATAATCAGGAACTGCATATAAGGCAGTTATCATGTCATCTAAACATGGCCAATGGTTTGCATTACATTTCAAACCTTGTTTAAATGAAGAACATGCCAATTCTAGATTAGAGTTTTTTATAGCTAAGGTTCCTATTCTATACCATAATGTTACATCTGTATCATCCAAATTAGCTGCCTCCCAATAATTTTCTATAGCTTCATTGTATTTTCCCAATGTAGCTTGTATAGCCCCAATATTTTTAAAACATGAATATTTCAATGACAACATTGGCCTAGATCTACCATCGGGTACCTCAGGTTTCTCAACTTCATCCAATAGTTCAGTTTCTAAAAGATCTTCAAAAATATTCAATGCATCTTCCTGTTTATTTTCTTTTAACAATACTAAGGCTTTATTATATTCGGTAAGAGCTATTTGTTCCTGCAACAGACACAAATGAATCAATCAAATTTTTCAAATTTCAATGAAGCATATGTCACAAAATAATGGACAATTAATTTTGGTTTCTGCAAAAAAACAGAAATTGAATAAAGACAGCTTTATGTAAATAGGTACCTAAATGTAATAATGCATTTATTAACTGTGAAATGACTTATAGGACATAATGATTCTGAATAAAAAGTAATTAATTATAGTGAATCATGTTGCATTATTGTAAACACGGTTTAGGGAAACAGCTACCCAGTAATCTAATGTCATGTAATTTTTAATATTATTTAGCATATAATATGTTCAATGTCGTACAAATTTATCAGATTTTTGTAAATGACATGTTTATAGGTTAAGCTTTTCAAGAAGGAAAAAGTTTAGGACGCCGTTACGTACTTGAGCTTCTTTCGTGATCGTCGGTACATCTTCTTCTTCGCTTTCTTCGCTGGATTCCTCGTTCAACGCCGATATTTTTATCATTTTTAGGAGTTTTTTTAAAATTCGAATTTATGTATAAAACATCAACAAATCAACCGGTTTTTTTTAGCGCCGCCATGCTACTAAGCACACAATATGCTGGTTTGTATGTACAATTATAGATATTTATATAGGGTGTCTGAAAAAAATATGCCTTTGGAATTTGTACATTTTAAAAAATTTTTTGTTTTCTTTATAAAAGTGTAACTTATATGTTTGTGTGCCGTTTAAAAAGGTATTATGTTTCATTCAAATGAAATTATCGAAATAGAATTGTTATTTAAACACCCTACATATATGCACTATCTATAAACTTGGAGATAATAAACGTGACACGTTTCGCACATATTGTAAAATCTATCTGACCTTATTTTACATTAACAATATAGTTGATTTATTTGATTTATTACAAATTTTACAATTTTACTAGTGTTCATAAAAATTTTAGTATGTACGTTCATCGATTTCGAACATTTTTAATCGCCTTTAATTTTTCTTAATAATTATCCTTATTGTTAGAATTAGCGATCATCTTCTTAGTTCGCTTATCTTAGTTTAAAGACGTATACGAAATATATGTAACTTTTCTATGCAAATAAAAATAAAAATTAAACTTCAAAGAATTGAATTTAGCGGTCTTTAAGTGGAGAAGTGAAATACAAAGAAAAATAATTGCGTTTAATTTTTAACATTAACTTTGAAATATAAATAATTAGGACACTAAAAGATTGGATTTAACATGCAACGATGTTTATGATTTGGGGTAAGTATTATCAAAGTATTTTATTGCATGTACTCGTTTATAAGTTAATAAATTCAATTATTAAAAACTTAATCACTATGTATAAAACATTAATAAAATATTTGAAATTAAAACTTAGCTTATATACGAATACATACATTATAAGTATAAAAGTAGATGTATTCATAAACTAGTGTTTTTGATGTTTTTTGTAACACATTTTGAAAGAGAAATTTAATGTAACAAAATACTGTACACAGAAACACCAGTTTACAAAAATTTGAGCACACTATTATCAACATGTTGAATATAATTTTTTTTATAAAACGTATCAAAACATTTTATTTTATGGTGGACAGATAATGGCTACTATAAGGTTGCATTGTTTTACTTCCCAGTAGTTTAAGTAAAACTATAGAACATGGCAACAAATTAAACAAAAATATACCAATGTAATGGACATTGTTAGACAATAAAAGGAATAAGGTACAAATAATTACACTTATAAATATGAAAGGTAATTTTATAGAAAATTCAAGGTATATATTATTAATTCCTTGTCCCAAAATATAGTCTAACAAAGTCTGAAATACACAATGTTCATTACTGTTGGCACTTGTAAACCATAATTATAAGTAATGGCTTTTTCCGACTGTACGTCCCAAAAATATTCCTATTCAATAACAATTGTATAAAAACCAAACCTGCTTTTCTCATTGAATTTACATTAAAGTTTTTGAGCACGCGAGAATGGCGATTATAAACTGTTACGATAAGTATGTACATTGTAGAAGACTCGTTCGCAGGTGGAGTGCAATCTGTAGACACACAAAGCCTCCTTGATTCTGTAATTATAATGAATAAAAGTGTTATAAGAAGAATTTGTGTACCCACCTACGAAGTATACAAAACTTATTGGCATAATGGTGAGATATCTCTCAGTAGGATAAAGATTAATGTGTTCCAACATTATATCGTGTCTTTACATAGTCTTAAACTTCGTTTCACCATTGTAATTTTGTTACCATAAGCTGTAATAATTATCTTTAGATCCCGAAATAGAGAGACATTATTGGGCAGCATCTTTTGTTCTACCTATCGGCACTATTTTCGTTCTTGCTCTGGTAGTTCTTTTAATGGTAACATTTCATTCACAATTTTTCATAATTTTGCAATAAAATAATCAATCGTTATATATTACATTCAGAAATGATTAATTCCTCGTTGGAATATACATTTATAATTTACAATAATTTCAGGTTTTATTCAAAAGATGTCCACAAATGGTCGCCACGATTGTCGCATCGATTCTTTGCGTTATTATTATATTTACGGCTCTGGTATCGATTAATCATGCTCCGATTTATACTTGATACTCTCTACTATTATTATTACAAAATAAACAATGGAACATGTTATTTTTTCTAGTCTGTTCGAAACATCACATACTAAGAATGATATAAGAATTATTGTACCACGAATGCAAACAACCATACACGGTCACGCATATATTGAATATTTTTTATAATATATATACACACACACTCTTTTTGTAATAGAAAGTGAAGTATTATTTTATCAACTGTATGTTTTACTTACTACTAACGATTTTTGTTACTTAATTTCATTTCAATCATATCCTTTGACACTCTTATCACTTTTTGTTCATAGTCATTTAATGCTTTTTGTAATTTCTCGTAGCTCTAAAATATGCATTAACATTTTTCGTTAATATCTTTATGCACGCGCATATATAATTATATAAGAATAGGAAAAAAGTGTTATATACCTCGGAAAACATGGTATTCTCCTTGCTAGCTTCTTTCAATTCGAATAATAGTACTTCTAACGTGTTAAATGGTAACCAGACTGCTGGAGTTATGGATGTTAAGTGTGTTTTAAGTCCAAAACTTTCTTTGCCATTACCGGAAACGGCATTAATGTATTCAACTGCTAAATCACTAGCTTCTACTACTCTACCAGTGTTCAACATAAGACGGAGAAGTTCTGCAGCGTTTCGTTTCTGTAGAATATAGAAATTAAATTTTTAATCACACGATAGATCCAATTTTTAATAATTATTTACCTTGTACGACATTAATAACCACTGAGGTATAAATGCTCCTTCTTGCAGCAATTTTCGCGAAACTGCTTTATGCAATTCGCTGCAGCCATCTTTTTCATGCTTCAACGTTAAATATTCTAACAATCTCCAAGCAGTATTTGTGATATTGGTATTAGAAAGGCCCATATCAAATATATCATTCTGAATAAGCCAATCCCAAGCATTTGGATCTTCCCTTCGGCTTAATCGCACACACTGTGAAGTTAGGCTTTCAAGAACGGAACTTTTATTAATTTTAAATTCATCGCACAAATGTAACGCTGTCGTGTATAATCCAATAGTCGATAAAATAATGATAAGTTCCGAGGGACCAGCGTGTGAGACAATGTGCAGCTCTGAATTTACTTTCGATACTTTCAATCTTGCATCCACTATATAGTACTCTTTCTTTATATCACTTAATTCGAGAACTTCTACTTGTTTCTTTATCTTGTAATGAGAAACTTCTTCGTCATCGATGCTTCTTCTTGTTGGTAACTCTTCATAATCCATCTCCTCGAAATAGTTCTGCTCAATCACAGGTCTAACGATCCACCTGTACTTTTCGGAGACAAGGTGTAACGCATTGATACACGCCAATAAACACTGAGCTTGTCTCGATACAATTGCAACAGACTGTGATTCTTGGCTCAAACGCATAGCTTGTTCGTACATCACAGACGCGGCTGCAATAGAAAAAAAATCAACTGTTGCATCAAAAAATATTTAATCATTCACCTGATAATTAAATAGATCAAAAGCAATACCTTTTCGCATATTTCCTTTATTTATATGGAAGCTGTACAAGAAATTATAGTAATTATTTTCCATAAGGTCCACACTTCTTGCTCTACCTTCCACTATTCTCTCTAAATCTTCGTACATATCGACGTACGGAAACGAAATTAAGTCTATCAATTTCTTTCGTTCAAACAAAGTCACTACTAATTGCCTCAAACAATCTACTCTACGAGCAGCATCTGGATTCGAATTCAGGCAATTATAAGCTTTGGTGTGGTGACCCAAATTCAAATGTTGCGTGAATACTATCGAATGAAGCGTTGGTAGATTACGATCATCTTTATCAGCCATCAATATGGCTGTTTCAGCAAGCTCTATGATACAGTCGGAAGCATTGTGTTCCTCAAATAATTTGATGACCTTTAGGTAATACTGAATTAACGAACTATTTGCTGATGTTACGATGGAATCGATTAAGGCATCTGCTAGAAATTTATCCGTTAGAATTCCTCCAGAGGCTCGGAGGAAGTGGTCACAAGCTTTCTGTGCTTCTCCCATTTCAAGTAGCGCAACTGCTAATATAAACTTTCTCGATGCACTGTTCCATTCACACCATGTGTTCAAAAGTCTGACGTATTCTTGTACTAGTAAAAACTGGCAACTGGATAACAGCCATTCAGGGAATATGAAATTTCCAGTTCTTGGCCATCTGATGAATTTTTGTTAAGGAAACAAGCAATTACTTAAAAGAAAGAAGAAAAAGTTTACACGAGGTACAATGTTTATAAAAGGATACATAAATTGTGCGATAAGGGTAACATGCGTCAACATGCCATAATGCCAGGGAATAAAAGTGGTTGCATCTATATTTGTATGAGCCATCAGGTTGTGAGCATGTTTTGCACCGCTATTTTGTATAAATAATTCTAACAACGACAGAGATCGATGTTGCCTGAATCCCATGTTTGCTTTTGAGTCAACGAGTTTTAATAGTGCTAAACGTTGAATACTGGAGTCCAATAGTGATTGGGCAGGCATTGGTAATGCTGTGGATTCACATATCCACGTTACAACATAATAAGCCTGTGTTAATACTACTGTTCTGGGTGCTAACGATGATTTTATGAAATGTAAGGGTCGTGAATCGAACAATTCAGGTCGCAGCAGTATCATCTGTTGTAAAATTAACAGATTCCTGCAGATTGCAAATCTTAACTGTGTTATTTGGGCAACGCTCTTCGATATTGCTGAGATGCCCAAACTACTACCGAAAAAGTGATTTATGTTAAGCAAAAGCTTCGAGGCATCATGATCTTCGTTAATCTGTAACTTAGTTGGTTGTTCAAGATCGTATGTTAACGTTTGTAGCAGCATTGCCATAGCACTGGATATATCTCTAACATTTGATAATTTGTGGCAGCTAGGGTGATGAGTGATGAAATTACTAATAGGTTCATCTGACTCTAACATCAATTTTGACAGTAAATTGTCAATAATAATGTCCGGACTTTTCAGATGATACAGCTCTCTTTTTATGGCTGTTTTGGTTTCCTCTGATAACTGCTCCTCCAACAACACCAATGCTGACATTAACGTGATGAGATCTTGACATATATCTTCGTCTTGTGATAGAACTGGCATTGTCTTGAATCTTGAGGTGTACGATTTTTCATTGCAAAACATTAGATATTCCAGTGCTTCCATAGGTCTTAAAAGCGAGAAGGATGATTTTTTAAGTAAAACAACTCCGTAAACGTTTGACAGTAACAATAATCCTACTGGTCTAGTGCTATTGGCATGATATTGTATGACGCATGAATAAAATTTCGACCAACAACGATTGGCTATTTCCAAATAATCCTCGTCCATAAGTTCATAATCCATGATTTCAGCCTGTATTTCCGCCTCTACCGCAATACACACACGTTCCTTCAATTCTGCGGCAGAAAGAATTTTATCCTCGGTACAATTAGATCTCCTATATATGTTTAGTGCTTTCGTTATGTCTGTTAAGGAAAATTGTCCAGGATGAAAAATATAATTGATGTATGCTTGTCTTGGATCGGTGTCAGGGTCGCTGAGAATATAGTCTCTATCTGGCATTTGCTCTAAATTCGTTGTTTCCCATTCGGAATTGACGCGTACACCGCTCAATGATAATTGAGCATGCGTTACTTCAACTGTATCCATATCGGTAGTTCTCCAGACAGCCCATAATCGAGTAGTTGTAAAAGAAAAATCAACTAAATGTTGCTGTAAAAATTGACAGAAAAATTATTCCAAATAATGATAACTGATAATGAAGTATAAAATAAACGTGAACAGTACGTACATCTTGTGCAAATCTTGTACATAGTCTAACAAATTTAAATATACCATTATCCTGAATTGGCTTTAAAATGCTAAATTCGCACCTAGTGCTAAATTTTAAAAAAGTCCCCAAGTATAATTCGTTATTGGGACCTAATGTTTTTCTCAATATATGACCCTGTGCACCCTGAGATGCGATGCGATTATCAATCGCTGCATCCGTCACGGCCACGCACTGAGCTTTATTACAAGACCACATACGGATATTACCTTCGCGGCATAAAGCGAACAGATATGTATCATTTCCGCAACTGTGTATAGTTAATGACATAGCCACATGGGCTTCAGAATTACGTCCTCTAAAGGCAGTTGCTATACCACTAAGAAATCTTGGCACTATCGAATCTTGCTTTAATTCACTGGTGTGCACAAGACCAGTTTTAGTGTCTAATCTTAGAAGGAGTATAGTTCCTGAATTATATGCAAGAGCAAACAGTGCTTCTTGTGGTGCAATGAACCATGATGCAGCAGCATGGGGGACTGGAGAATCTGTAGAAAAATCCAAATGATAGCAGTAAGTACTGTGTTTGTTATTAATATTGTTATCATGTTCCTAATTTTATAGCAAATTACTTACTTGTAGTTCCTGCACTTGTAATGACATGAAACATGTGTGGATCCTCCTTTGTTTTTTTCACATTCTGTGCAGATGCTTCACTAAATATTGACTGTATACCTAAATCTTTATATGTACTTAATGAGTGTTCCTTTAAAATAATAACAGTTTATTAATTCAACTTCATACCACCCTATGACATATATCCAGTTTTCAAGGAGTACTTACATTTTTATGAATTCTTTCAGGATGAGGGAACGATAGCTTATGAACACTAGAAACAGTTGCTATTAATATGATAACTGAATTAATTGTTTCATGTATAGAAATACCATCCAAAATGGGTGTATCTGTAAACTTGTATCTTACTCTACAATTGGCCAAATTAATGTCTAAACTATGTTCAACCAATTCTAGTACATCATGACAAATACGCCAATAAATAAACCGATTGCGGGTAAAATACTTTGAGCAATCATTATATGAATAGCCACCTGCCCTTTCTGGAACTTTTATGTCTTGTAAGGTACTTTGACTTCCACCTGTAGAATAAAGTATCAAAAAATTATACATTATAGAATCATTACTTACTTAAAAAAGCTAAAAGGCTAATAAAGAGAGGTTAGAAATTTTTTTGTGTAAAGTTTATAATTTATTCTTAAACCGATAAATGATCTTCCGAATAAAAGACAATCCTCTTTGAAATGCAACATAAAAATAGATCTTAAATCATTTTTTAAACGTTAATTTCAGTTATCCGGCAAAAATAACTAGGTTATGATCACCTACCTGTGTTCAACGTGATTTCGTTCCATTTCTCTAATACAGTTTGATCAGGCACGACTTCCCGGTATCCCAACGGAAATTCTTCCATATTCCACTTTATATTCCAATTAGTACTATGTTAATTTAACCTTTAAATCACATTACAATGCTGCTCGAATTTTTAGCGGGCATCGAACGCGGTGTCACGCTTCACGCTTCGCGCTCCGCGTTTTGGCGCCCTCGTTTTTACCATCTGTTGTTAATTTGCATAATTTAGTGTTCAGTCGGTACATCTCAGTATTGTAGGGAATGATGTATTTGAAAAGCATCACCGAAATTATGCTTATTAAAAATATATATAAATAAAGAAAAATTAAAAAATGAACGCGAATTTAATGGCTTTAATTCGTATTTGATAGCATAAAAATTAAGAATGTACTGGTTCTTGCATAAAACATAACCTATAACAACTTATTTATCGATTATATATTAATAATATAGAACAATGGAAAGAAAAGACACGAATAAAAAAATAATCACGGCATTCTATCTGATACTGAACATTTTTTTCTCCATCGTAATCGTATTATTAAATAAATGGCTCTATGTCCATACCGGTTTTCCAAACATTACGCTATCGATGATACATTTTGTTATCACATTTATCGGATTAATAATATGTGAAAAATTTGATGTTTTCTGTATAAAAGATATCGCGATTAAAGAAATGTTTTTAATTGCTATGACATTCTGTGGATTTGTTGTATTAACAAATTTGAGTCTAGCATATAATACTGTTGGAACTTATCAAGTTGCTAAAATGTTGACTACACCCTGTGTGATAATAACACAAATAATATTCTACAAAAAGCACTTTAGCATACTTATTAAACTAACATTAATTCCTATAATATTAGGGGTAGTAATTAACTTTTACTATGACATACAATTTAATATTATTGGAACAGTATACGCAACAATGGGAGTGCTTGTAACATCTTTATATCAAGTGGTACACTTTTTTATTCTTGTATAGTATAACAATTGCTAAATTTTATTTGTAATATTCTTGGTATTTCTAGATGGTAAATAGAAAGCAGAGGGAATTCCAAATGGATCCAATGCAATTGTTATATTATCAAGCACCTTTATCTGCAGTTATGTTATTTTTTATTGTGCCATTTTTAGAGCCTGTAAAACAAACATTTGCAAGAAGTTGGTCAGTGGTGGATATAGTATGTTTATTAGAGAAAATATTAGTTTTTAGATTCTATTTTTGAAAGAAGAAAGGCTACATGATTATATGACTTTTTTCTAGATTATGGTTGTACTATCAGGCATAGTAGCATTTTTTGTTAACTTAACATCCTATTGGATCATAGGAAAAACTTCTCCATTAACGTATCCTTTCTCAAATTTGTAAAAAGAAAAACCTTCAAATAATTTATTCTTCCTTATTTAGTAATAGTTATAACATGGTTGGACATTCCAAATTTTGCCTATTACTTTTAGGTGGTTCATTAATCTTTCATGAAACACTGGCAATAAATCAAGTGATTGGTATCACTTTAACATTAGTTGGAATTATTTTGTATGCACATGTCAAAGTGAGTATAATATATTTATAATTACAAGATACTGAGAACCTTGTGTATGGATAAAATTAATTTCTATTCCAGATGAAGGATACTCAGCCTGTAGTGCCAGATTATGAAGAAACAGATAGAAAACCATTGCATAAAGTATGATTTTGTATGATTATTTGTATAAATAATAAAAGACAAGTTACTTGATTTTACGCGGTGTTCGTATTCCTCTTTATTCAAATTATTTCAGGAGACTAAATGCATTTATTAGAGTATATATTTAAAAAAAAAAATAGGAGAATATAAAGCAAAAGGGTCGTCGTCACACCTAGGGCTGAGAGGAGGATTAATTCAAACTCCCGTTTAAATTAATGGAAACTTTTAAATTATATCATGCTTTGCTCAAATATTTTCCCAGGTGTATCGGACCCACTAACACATTCTTTAAAATGCGCTTATATAGAAATCCACTATTCATGCAAGCACTATCGAGAAAGTATTATTTGCTTACGACATCTATAGTTGAAACTAGGTATTAAATATCTGTTAAACATCACAGGATTAAATAATGCATATTTTTTGTGAAATCTATATACTGTTCATTATATATTTTATATATAATGTACTATTTTATATACTTATGATATTTTCATTTTATCTAGTCTTAAATATTACTTGGATCGATTAGTTAAAGGGAGAGGAGTTTCAGAGCTTTTGAAAAGGACTTCAATGTTCGCGGTACTGCGAATTTGAATTCGCCCAACTAGAAACGCTCCTTACGCGTCTGTTTCATGAGACTTCGTTTCCATGACAATCGAATAGGGTGGGGATAGAGATGTATCAATCAAACAATTCTATCTATGCAACGTGCTTTTCTGTTGAAAGACGATTTCTTATAATTATAAATAATGAAGATTGAGGAGGTAAAGAGTACTGCGAAGACTCAAAGAATCTCAGCCCATACGCATATAAAAGGGCTGGGTCTTGACGAAAATGGTATAGCAATACAAACTGCGGCAGGTCTTGTTGGCCAAGAAATGGCTCGTGAGGTTAGAATTATTCTCATGTCAATAAATAAAATAATAGTGAAAACCATAATAATTATAGGTATTTCTTTGTTAAAGTACACCTATGTTTACTAATTTCTAAAATAAAACCCTACTGTATAAGAATTTTCTTTTGTAATATTGTTAAAAGGAAAACACTTGATGAAGTGAATTTTAACTACTTTTGATGTTTTAGGCTGCTGGGATAGTGGTTGACATGATTAAGTCAAAGAAGATGGCTGGTAGAGCAGTGTTGTTGGCTGGTCCACCTGGTACAGGAAAAACTGCAATTGCTTTAGCTATTGCTCAGGAGTTGGGTAACAAAGTACCATTTTGTCCCATGGTAGGTTCAGAAGTCTATAGTTCTGAAATAAAAAAGACAGAAGTCCTCATGGAAAACTTTAGAAGGGCCATTGGCCTTAGAATCAAAGAGACTAAGGAGGTATATGAAGGAGAAGTAACAGAATTGACTCCAGTTGAAACAGAAAATCCCATGGGTGGATATGGAAAGACAGTGTCTCATGTAGTTGTTGGATTAAAGACTGCTAAGGGTACAAAGCAGTTAAAATTGGATCCCTCCATATACGAGTCTTTACAGAAGGAAAAAGTTGAAACTGGAGATGTAATTTACATTGAGGCAAATAGTGGTGCTGTGAAAAGGCAGGGTAGAAGCGATAATTTTGCTACAGAGTTTGACTTGGAAGCAGAAGAGTATGTCCCCTTGCCTAAGGGTGATGTGCATAAAAAGAAGGAAGTTATTCAAGATGTAACATTACATGATTTAGATGTTGCCAATGCCAAACCACAAGGTGGTCAAGATATTATGTCTATGATGGGTCAATTAATGAAACCCAAAAAGACAGAAATTACAGGTAAAATTATCCAACACAGTTTAAAGAATTTACATACTTGGAACAGAAGTTTAACTTAAATTGTTTGTTGCAGACAAATTGCGCAAAGAAATAAATAAAGTAGTAAATAAATATATCGATCAAGGAATTGCGGAATTAGTGCCGGGTGTCTTGTTTATAGACGAAGTTCACATGTTAGATATAGAAACATTTACGTATCTTCATCGTGCACTGGAAAGTGCAATCGCTCCTATAGTTATTTTTGCAACAAATCGCGGTCGTTGTGTAATCAGAGGAACAGAGGACATCGCGTCACCACATGGAATACCTCTTGATCTCTTAGATAGGTTGCTGATCATACGGACACTTCCGTATTCTAGAGCAGAAGTACTAAAACAACACTTAGATACGTGGTGCAACTTTTAACTCCTGCAGCGTTAACGGCAAAAGTCAACGAAAGGGCGGTAATTAAAAAAGAAGATATTGACGAAGTGGGATCGCTTTTCTTGGACGCAAAATCCTCAGCAAAAATCCTTACACAGAATAAAGATAAATTTATGAAATGAATATGTTTAGTTGATTGTTCTTTAACAAAGTATTTATTAAGTCCCCTATAGTGTAAATGATTCTCGAAAAGTTCTACAATATAAAATATCATATATGTTTGTAGCTGATTTCATTTAAATTTTATAAATAAAGTTAAATTTATATGAAGTATGTGTGTTGGTTTTCTTATTGCACTTTTTTGTCTAGCTAGCGAATTGCGAAAATAAATTGTAAACATATTACATACATATGTATAAAGGTAGTTTCCCAATATTGTTTAAGATATTTTACAACTCAGGGTTACAAAAGTTCAAGTTATAATCAGGAGTTATGACATCACAAGATAATAGGTCTTGGAGTATAAAACCTCTGTTTAGTTTACTAAACTCTTTAGTTTTCTGGAATCCATCAAGTATTAGAGTCTTAATTACGTATTATTAAGTACTTCATATATACAACATACAATGTTCCGTATTTTGAAACTAACACAGTGTTCAAGATTGTTGAATAAAAATAGTGTACTTCGACATGCCCGTGGATTAACGTTGAGCAATTTTCGAAATGGAAATCTTGAAAAATTATTCCCAAAAAAAGACGAATTTCAAACCAGACACATTGGCCCCCGAAAACACGAACAACTAGAGATGTTGAAGACTCTTGGATTTGAGGTATTTAAATAAATATAAAATAACTTTTTAAAATGGTTACTAATACACTCAACTAATTTTATAGAGTTTAGAGGAATTGACAAAGGCAGCTATTCCAGGAAAAATTCTTTACAAAGAAGCATTGAAGATTGAACAACCAGTCAGTAAGTAAACCGTTTGAAATAATGGGGAAAAGGAGAAGAATCACGGTATGCAGAAAAGCGTGCGAAGTCACAAGATTGTAGATATGAAACACGTGCAAACTGATAACCCTTCGATATCGAAATGGACGCAGTACAAGCATAAATATACTCTAAGTATTATTAAAGATATTTTGCACATTAAGTATTGTAATGAATCGCATATTCAATGAACTAATTGCTTAGAAAAATAGTATTTATCGTTAAGACATGCATCAAAAGTCCATTATACTAGGATATAAATAAGACGAGCTTCCATTGTAGGAACAGCATATCTCTTAGGTCAGAGGTCAATCTCGTGCATTCAGATCGGCACTCGCGTGATTTTCAAAGGCATAAAGCTATTTATAATACTTTCATTGTAAATTGTAAATACATATATGTATGCAGTAATTGTAAATACATACATGTATATATGTATGCATCATAATTAGGGATTAAGTAAAATAGCAATTTTATTTCAGCTGAATACGAGTTGCTAAAAAGGATCGTAAAAATTTCGGAAAAGAATGACATATGGCGTTCGTATATTGGCATGGGGTATAACAACTGTTGTGTTCCTCACACTATTATGAGGAACATATTTGAAAACCCAGGATGGTAAATTATTTTATCGCATAATAATTAATAGTGAATTTAATAAGGTTGAAGTAATCAATATAGTTCTATTATAGGACAACACAGTATACCCCTTACCAGCCAGAAATTTCTCAAGGCAGGCTCGAAGGTTTGCTGAATTATCAAACGATGATATGCGATTTAACTGGAATGGAAGTAGCGAATGCATCGCTTCTGGACGAAGGCACTGCAGCAGCAGAAGCTCTAGCTCTCACTTGTAGGAGCAATAAGAGAAAGAAATTATTCGTTTCTGACAAAGTTCATCCTCAAACTATCAGCGTGATCGCGACACGTGCAACTTCTCTAGATCTTGATCTTGCAATTGGAGATGTTTTTCAAGTGGACACAAGCGCAAAGGACATAGCTGGAATTCTTTTCCAATATCCCGACACGACTGGATCTATCTACGCGTTTGAGAACGTAGTGAAGAAGGCGCATGCAGATGGAGTACGTATTTAAAAACTTCAGCGAAATAGAATTATTCTAATTTCCATTATTATAGACACTAGTCTGTGCTGCCACGGATTTGTTGGCTCTGGCCATACTCAAGCCTCCAAGCGAATTTGGAGTTGATATATGTGTCGGTACGAGTCAGCGTTTTGGAGTACCACTTGGGTATGGTGGACCTCATGCTGGGTTCTTCGCATGTCGACAAAAATTAGTACGATTGATGCCTGGTAGAATGATTGGTGTTACCAAAGATTCGAATGGTCAGGATGCGTATCGTTTGGCTCTTCAAACCCGCGAACAGCATATTAGGAGGGACAAAGCTACCAGCAATATCTGCACAGCACAAGCATTATTGGCAAATATGTCTGCTATGTACGCCGTGTATCATGGATCCGAAGGAATAAGAAATATTTCAAACAGGGTACATCTTTTCACCTTGGTTCTAGCAAAAGGTCTAGAAAAAGCAGGGAATAAAATGGAAAATGAACATTTCTTTGATACTATAAAAATATTGCCCAAAGAGTCTATGAAAGCTATAAAGGAAAGTGCGACTATGTTTAAAATAAACTTTAGATACTATGAGGACGGAGTTGGAATATCTCTAGACGAAACTACTACAGAAGGGGACATAAACGACATCTTTCAAATATTTTCTGCGAACACTACGTTTGAAGAAATGTGTGAGGATGAATCTTGCATGGACAGGAGCTTGGATAAGTCGCAATTCATTCGTACTACGTCGTATTTGCAACATCCTGTATTCAATAGCCACCAGTCTGAAACAAGAATAGTTAGATATATGAAATCCTTGGAAAATAAGGATGTGTCTCTGGTGCACAGCATGATACCACTGGTAAGTTGGGAAACGTCGATGAAAAAATTCTACGAAGGTATATTTGTAACTATTTCGACAGGGATCCTGTACGATGAAATTGAATTCCACCACGGAAATGATGCCTTGCAGTCTACGAGGATTCACAGATATACATCCTTTCGTTCCCATCGAACAAACCAAAGGGTATCAGCAGCTATTCGCTGAACTGGAGCAGGATCTTTGTGCTATAACCGGTTATGATAACATCAGCTTTCAACCGAACAGTGGAGCTCAAGGAGAATACGCTGGTCTAAGGGCCATACAATGTTTCCACGAGTCCAATGGAAATAAGCATCGTCAAGTGTGCCTAATTCCTATCTCTGCTCACGGTACAAATCCCGCTTCTGCTCAGATGGCAGGTATGCAGGTCAAGCCTATCCTCGTACAGAAAGACGGTTCTGTGGACATTACACACTTGACAGAAATGATCGATAAATACCGAAAAACATTGTCTTGCTTGATGATAACTTATCCATCGACGAATGGCGTGTTTGAAGAGACGATTGGCGATATTTGTTCTATGGTTCATGAAGCTGGTGGTCAAGTGTATCTGGATGGGGCTAATATGAATGCTCAAGTTGGATTATGTCGTCCTGGTGATTATGGCAGCGATGTCTCACATTTGAACTTACATAAAACGTTCTGTATACCTCATGGTGGTGGAGGACCTGGAATGGGACCCATTGGAGTGTAAGTAATATATTAGTTTGGTATTGCATATTTGGTTAAAGAATGAAAAGGAGCATGTATTTTATTTATAGTAAACGGCATCTTACACCTTTTCTTCCATCTCATCCTGTTATCAATTGTTCTGGCAATGGTAATGCCAATGCGAAGCAATCTGGCGCGGTATCGGCTGCTCCATTTGGATCGTCCGCTATTTTACCAATTTCGTGGGCCTATATTAAGATGATGGGACCGAAAGGATTAAGGAAAGCCACGCAAGTTGCTATTCTAAATGCCAATTATATGAGTAAAAGGCTGGGGAATCATTATAAGATTCTATATAAAGGAAAGACAGGATTAGTAGCGCATGAATTTATTTTGGATGTGCGGGACTTTAAGAAGACAGCGAATATCGAGGTTGCGGATATTGCTAAAAGATTAATGGATTATGGTTTTCATGCTCCAACAATGAGCTGGCCTGTGGTAGGTACATTAATGATCGAACCAACTGAATCTGAGGACAAAAAGGAATTGGACAGATTTTGCAATTCTCTCATTTGTAAGATCATTATACTTGTTAAAATTTCTTCTTTAAAAAATAACCTTAATATATTAATAGGTTCTGATTCTTTAGCTATAAGACAAGAAATTAGCGATATTGAAAATGGTAAATTTGATATTGCTAATAACCCATTGAAAATGGCACCACATACTCAGGAACAAGTAATATCGAGTACGTGGGACCGACTCTACTCTCGTGAAGTAGCTGCATTTCCAGCTGTAAGTATTCATACATATGTCTAAAGGAACAAGGGATAATTAAATTACATTTATTTAAATTTCAGCCATTTGTAAAAGGAAGTAATAAGATTTGGCCAAGTGTTGGAAGGATAGATGATATATACGGAGACAAGAACCTATTCTGTACATGTCCCCCTGTCTTACCCGAGCAGTAAATATTTGTAATTATTTATCGTGTACAGTTAGTTATAGAACTATTTAAATATTTATTGTAATTTTTTTGTACAAACATATTATTTATATAAAACTTCATACTTTTACAAGCAGAGAAAATATAATAAAGATTTGATCCTAAAACTCTGTTTCAATAGCAAATAAAAGGCATACCATTTCGCATTTATTCTTTATCCATTTAATAACTTAATGGCTAGGTTGCCTATTTAATTCATCGATATATTTACATTGTATCAGGTTATAACATATGAAATGTCCGATTTTGTTATACCAATGGTCTAACCTTTTTTCCCCAATATTTTTATCTTTGTAGATGTATTATACATCATCTTAAAGCTTAGAATCTCCTCTTTTTTTAATGACTTTAACTTTTTAAATTTTTCGTATCCTTTTCCTGTACGAATAGAAAAGTGGTCATAATGCAGCAGCAACTTGAAGTAATGCACCAGAAATTACGAACTAAACAATCGGCATTGATCAATCAAAAAGGGCCCATTCTGCTACATGACAATGCTCAACCACATGTTTCGCAAATAACGGCGCAAACACTTAATTACATGAAATATGAAACTTTACTTCATCCGTCGTACTCATCGGATTTGTTGTCCATGTATTTTTTTAAACATCTACTGTGCGGAGCTGGAATGAAGACAAGCGGAAGGAATGCGGGTCAGATTGGGTTATCTCCATAGACCCACCTTTTCTAACACAATCATTGAAATCGAATGCACGTATTGTCATTATTGGCCGAACGCGATAACATCAATAAATCGGATCATATAGCACCACGTGGCGGAAGATTGGAGCAAGTGAAGTACCCCTCTTGCCTCTGTGCCGTCTCGGCGGACTTCTTTCCAGCTGTGCACAGTATAGTCTTAATACGAAATAAGTGACTGTTTTCTGGCTCAAAGATAGCAACTCGCTATCCCCTCTTCTTTATTTGAACACGCCCATCGAGTGAGAGGTCCGTGAAAGCGAGAAGCCATAAATCTATACGATTGACTGAACAGTGACGTCGTTAAAAAAAAAAAAAATTGCTTTCTCACACGTTAACTGTTCGTGGTCTATCCTCATCACGGGGGGGGCAAGCGAATAATGTGCACGGCTGCGGCATATCGGTGAGACGACACTAACAAAACTACAAAAGTTTGTTATTTTCAATTTTTCGTTAATAAAAATTTCATCAAAATATTGGTGAGATTTCTCTGATTAAAATGATACCAAACACGATGTTGTTTGAAACTTGGTTGTGTCGATTGGGCTTGTGAATCTTCCTTTGCCTGCTACCTTTTTCTACGTTTATTTCGTTGTCGGTAAAATATGTATTTACATCTAAAGAATGGAGGACCTTTCCGTTTGGAGTTTCACAGCTGTGCCGAATACCAGTGCTAGAATGTATGTTTGTATGTTTGTATGTGTGTGGAATTTCTTATTAAGTAACTAAATGTAAACCGAATTATACAATGTTTGGTCTCATTTTAATCAGAAAAATATCGTAGATATGTTAGTAAAAATTTTATCAACAAAACACAAAAAATAAAAAAGTTTCTCTTTTGTATTAGTGTTGTCTCATAGATATGTAGTCATTTAATATTTTACAACTGTCACGACTTTCAATACCTCTTTCTTCTTTGTCCGTTGTCTCTTTCTGCGTCCGTCGGCGTCGGTAAAATACAAAGAGTTTGGAGAATGTAGTACCTATCCCGTAACTGCTCCGAGTTTCGAACTCTTACAGAGTCTTTACTGTATCTCGAGCCTCTCTTTCGTTCTCCATGTTCTTTCGTCCCGTTCGAGAATAAAGTGAATACACATCTGGTTGCTCCCGAACGAGTTGCTTATTACGGATTAAAACTGTACATTCAAAGAATTTATTGATACCAGATCACCGACATTTTGCAAAAATAGAATTAAAAAATTTGTCACTTGTTGATAAAAATGTGTAGATTGCAATAGTTCCTATTTTAATTAATAAAATTTAATATAAAAACAGTTATATTGATTTGAAGCTGCAGCTCAAAATCGAACATTTCATATGTTACAACCTAATACATTATTACAAATTAATTCATTCAATTTCATTCAATTCAATTAATTTATACATATATTACAAACCAGGCATAAGGTATGCAATATTATCGAGCATTTGCGAAAGTGTTTCGTGTTTAGCTCCATTAGTTTCGGGTACCTGTTGTGTTAGGCAGATTAAGGGACCTAGTGCGCAAAGTAGTGAATCCAGCAAAACCGACAGACTACCAGACACAGCTATTTGCCCATCGTGTTCCTTTAATCGTTCACCAATGATCGTTAAACTTTCGCCAAGAAGCTTTAGATGAGCGGCTACATCGATGGGATGAGTTCCAACAACTTTGTACATTCCCGTGCCAATCATTGGTTCATTAACCAAATCTTTTCCGGTTCGATTCGAGGGTGGTGATACCGGAACATTTCCTACAACCGAGGGTAGACCAAGTTGAATAGTTTTTTTAGAAGTAGCTGGCTTTTGCTCTTTTCCATTACCTGTAATACAGAAAAGAAGGGAACATAAAACGTTACAATATCGTCATTATTGTGCAACTTGCCTATCTTCTAAACGAGATGCATGCATACAAAACAAATGAGAATGAGACATCTACCATATAATTTTTAGGCATATAAACCAATATTTGCATATATGTGTATATACACTCTGGTACTCCAATATATACATACGTGTATATTGGAGCACCAGAGTGAATTTATATATATATACATACTTATATGATAAATTTTTGACTAATACGCGTGCACGAGAAGCAAATTAAAATGAACGAACTACCACATAACTTTTAGAGACATACTCATAAAAAATGATGTATACATGAGAACCAACAAACCCACCAATTTTATTAATGAATTTTTTTCGCGAAGCAGGCGGCGGCATTTTCCAAACAGGCTCATCTTTACTCGCAGGTAAAGAATGAGGTTTTGCTGCCAAGCGTTTTGCGCGTCTGCGCCAGTTATATTTTTCCAGATTTGGTACTGTAGCCCACAGTTCTCCTAACCGTTTAGAAATTGCTGCAAAATCTACAAAAAGCAACATTTCACGAATAACATTAGCGTCGTTTGCTAATTATATTGTATTATGGAAAAACAAGTGAAGCTTATATACCCATGTAAGGATATTGTTCTAGTAATTCTTGCCTAATCTCTTTAGCCCACAACATGTAAGCAGTAAATCTTGTTTTCTGAAAATATCATCGAATTGTGAAATAATCCCCTTAATAACTTTCATGTGTACATACCCCTTTGTCTTTTCGTTGTGCCTTCATTCTACCTATTATTTTGCCATCTTTAATTATTAGTTTTTTCTTACATTTCTCAAGCATGTACAAACTATTTGCTTGTGAAGGTGTTTCTTGGCCAGGTGGTTCAAGCTTTTTAAACCCTGTTTCTCTATCATCTATCATGAGAGGATCTACTTCATCATCGCTTCCAGAATCCATACTGTATCTTTCATCCTCGATCAACCCAGAGGGATCATCTGATTCAGAACCAGAAGATTGCCCTTCATTATCTGACAATGGCTCTGTCTTAATTCTTTGTTGTCCAGAATTTGAATTTGAATTTTTCCTCTGCCTTCCACCACTGCCATGTTGCATAGACTGAGTTGGAGATATATGTTGAGACTCGTATCTATCCAACAATTGTTGAGTTTGTAATTGCTGTGCTTTTTGACGTTTGTATTTATTATCCGTAAAATCATCTGGAGACTCAAAGTCAACGAGTTTGGAAGATTTTTTTCGCACGCGGCCACTGCGGGAGATACCCGTGACCTCTAGATCTGAAAGATAAAGCGGACTGCACCTTGCCAAGAAAGAGAAAGGGACCAAAATACTTTGTAACGTCTAACTACCACTCTCACAACCACAACTTTGGGATTCAAGTTCATTACAATTGTCTAAGCAAACATACTTTACACCAAGTGTATGTCTGTTCTGTGTGTGTGTATGTGTATGTGTATTGTGTGAACGTGCGCGTGTGCGAGTATCCAAACATAGTTCACTGCATATTTATTCTTTTAATTGAAGGTGATTATCAATTTCTAAATCTCGTGGACGCGTATTATGTCACGTGAAATTTGCTCTACGTATTATACATAAAAAGGAGTCCCTGTACTTCTGACGTACATAAACATACAGTATTTTGCAATGAACTGGACAAGTTTTACAATTGTTCGTTTACAAATGATTCGAATAAAATATTTTCTTCATTACATCTCCGTTTCGTTAATCTAACCTGTTTAATTCCTGAAGTTTTTTAAATATAAAAAACCTAACCACGAATGGATCGTACACATCATTAGTTTGACGATTCTCCGCTACGAACAAAAGCGCAAGTAACTAAAACGCATTTCGGAGTAAATATTGCAAGGAAATTGATAAATTTGCTACAAACGCGCGCAAATCATGCGGAATACTGCAAGCATAACGAGCAAACAAGCAACTGATCTACTAAATGTGTCTTTCTATGAAATAAAAACTGATCTCACCGTCACTTTTCTGACGTTTTGGAGTCACGAACATATCCATAGCGTCGCTCTGTTGCTTCACGATCTTCTTGCGCCGCGGCGTCTTCTCAGATTTCGCGGGCTTACGAACAGTGGCGTGCATCACGCACTAAAAATTTATTGCCCGTTTGATGTAAATACATTTGGGAGTACTTTGACCACTTTTTCCAAGAGAAATCTTCCTTCACTGGCTAAACTCCATTTAATTCCAAGAGGTTTTTAAAAACAACTGCCACGAAGAAAACCAGAATGCACTGCACAGCGTGTGACGCACTTCAGATATAACGCGCGAGAATTTGAAATTCCTTCGATGACGAATCAGATTTGGAACTTGCACACATAATCTAGTCTGCTAGTTAAAAGTAGTAGTTTCTAACATTTGAATATATAAAAAAAGGTAAAATATTTTGTATAAAATCATATTATTTATAATGTTACAAAATTTATAGGAATTAGATTGAAACATATAAAAAGTTTAAATAGTGTTCATGTAAGGTCTTAAAGCCCATTCTGTATCAGCTGCTGCTTCTATATCCAAAGTGCCTAATTTAATTTCGTATAATTTCAATTGAAATCTAGGTCCAACTTCTGTCAGTTCTATGTCCTTTCCATGAACTTTCTTATAAGTATGATGTCGAAAAGATATATAATCATCGTGGTTAGCAAAAGTGATTACTCGTTTGCTATCTTCTTTTGGCACAGGGAATAAATACTTCAAAATATTCATAACACGTCCACCTAGGTTTGTTTTAAAGTTGTGGAAAATAAGATGAGGATATTGCTCAGACATTGTTCCAATATCAGGTATATCGTGTCTCATGATAACATCAGACATTGTAAAATATGCAGTAGGTCCATAAGGTAGATGGCAAATGACAAGAGAGTCTGGTACACCTCTGTGTTCGTGCACAATTATGAAATCTGTGACATCATTGGCACGACAGGCATGTATAAGTTGTTTCATGTCATAGTTTCCTCTATTCATCCTCTGAGAATTTGGAAATATCAAACGCAATTCTTTCGCAAACATTTTTAATCTGGAACTTGGATCACGAGAGGTTGTTAACACAATCTTTGGGTTTTCAACTCCAGCCCATCTGTATTCATCATCTTCATGAGAGCCTGTTCCTCCTGTTCCCCCCATTTCTGTCCCAATAGCCACAGCCATTTCTGGTCCAGCATCTTCCCAAGCTAACCTTTTTTGTATGTTTAAAGCATCTTTCCTTAGATCGGGGTGTATCGGTACATTTTCTTCCAAACTGCGTTTTAGTTTTTCCTTCTTTTCTTGAATATTTTTTATTTTATCCTGAACTGATTTTCTGTAGAGATATTCTCTACGAAGTCTTGCTTGCCTTCGCAACATTTTAATATTTTAATATATATGTTTACTTCACAAATTTTTATATTATCTTATAACGATGGGGGCACATCTACAAGTTACACGAAGCACACACGTGCCTGCATCATTGACATCAGTATGCACGCTCGTAACCTACAGAATGAAACAGTTGACAATAGGACATGATAATTTTTGGTTGTTAATTTTCTGTGAATATTATTTAATAAAGTAACTATTACATAAATTAATAAATTATTTAATAAAATAATTATCAAGTAATCTATCGTAAATTAAGTTGTCTCTTATGTATCTCCTAAGTATATCGTTCCTGAAACGTGATTGGTTTGTTTGTCCACTAGTGGCCAATCACATCGCTCGAGCAGTTGGTGTTATAGTTGGTAAACATATCGACAAATAACTCTGCCAGTGCAGTTTGTGCTCACAGTTGGTATTTCCAGCAGTCGATAACAAATTATCGACGTAACGGAAACTTCTCTTTCAGATAGAAATCTCAGCAGTCGATAATAAGTTACCAATGTAACTAGTAATTAGTTTCTAAAATTCGCGTCAGATATCATCCACGCTAATTTAAAGTGGACGCTCTAATTCGAATTTTCATTCGAATTTCATGTAAAAGAAAGAAAAAAGAAATCGGGTAAAAAGGTTCGTTTAGATTTTCTAAAAACTCAGAGCTCGTTCGTTCGCGTTTTACAGCCAGACCAGTCGACCTTACAGCTGTTTTTTCTCATGCCTCAAGTTAATTGCATCCAGCTTGCAATTTCTCTTCATGCTTTGATATCCAGCCGCCGCGGCCGGCGCGCCGGTTCTTCTTCGGGGAACGTGATTTTTCAGCGGTTGCATTCAGTTCTAATCGCAGGGGTGGTAAAATTCTCGTTAAAATTTTCCCGAAATAATCGTGTTTCTCGTCGAACACTCGAGGGGACACACGAGTCCCGAAAACAGTCGAATGCCCCCCGGGCATCCCGGGCGCGGCGGGGGGG